ATTATATATATATATATATATTTTTTTCTATGTTTTATTACACAAAATTAAATTTTTTTCAAATCAGTCAATTAAATTATATCATATCATATTTTTTTGAGGAAAAATTATATCATATCATATTTTTTTGAGGAAAAATTATATCATATCATAGTATACTATAGTAGATCAAATAAGTAAAAATAAGTTAAACTCAAAAGCCAATGAACTAAAATTTTTATTGATACACCTGATATCTAAGTGTATAGAAGGACCTTATGAGAAATTAAAAGAAAAAATAAATTACACTACTAATTTATGCCTCCTACACAAGTGCAGTAATATGGTCGGATAAAGCTTAGATCTTCCAGTAATTCCACTTGAAAAAAGGGTGACTAAAATTGAATCATGATCTTTTTATAACGTTAACTTTTAATATCGTATAAAAGAAATTCAATCAAAAGTTTAAGATAATAATCGATGATTGACTTATAACTTATATACTACTTGTATATAATTTAATGCTTATTTGTTTAATCTCTATTTATATTGTTTATGATCATGTTCCAACAAAAAATTTAAATGAGCATGTTTATGAAGTAAACTCTTAAAAATCCAAGCCCAAGTTTCATAAAACAATAAAAGGTGTTTGGAGGTCTAGTTACCTTGAACACAATCAAGCAAATTTAGAATAGAATAAAGGTGGGTTTGGTGATTTGCAAATGTGTGGTCACATGATTTCTGACGCTGACACATGCAATTTGCTGCACATTTGAATCAATGACACGTGACACAGGGAAATTACCTTGAAAGAATAGCCAAGCCGATAGGATTGCCCATAATGATAAATCATTTGCTCTTTCTATAAAACCCACGATTTTGTCATATGGTTTTGTTCATTTTTGGCCCAACATTCCTCGTGAATTTACCGATACTTTGATGCCATAGGATGTGCTAAGTAATTTTTTTTCGAATAACCGTTATTTTCAGACAGTAAATTTGTTGAAAATACTTGCTATTTGGATATCGGATTTTATGATTCGATTTAAACTTTGGGCAGGAAATTGCATGCCCAAACCTGTCCTAATCGACCGGGCTATGTTGGTTTTTTGGGCTGGGCCAAAAAATTAACTAAAATTACGTAGTGACGTATTCTCAAGTTTGACCAATTTTTTTTTTTTTTTTTTTTTTTTTTAATATAAATTAGATCCAGCCTGATTTTAAGCTGAAAAAATTGTACCAGCCTAAATTCGGGTTGCACTTTGATCAGCTTTAGCCAAGGGTTTATCGGTCAATCAAGAGTTACTAGGCCAATTAGGGTTAATCCAATCAACGTTTTGGTGTATGTTTATTAGACACACATTGTGGTCAATCACACTGAAAACGCATTGTATTACAAAGTAGTAAATAATTACACAATTAAAATTGGGAAATTCGTTGTAAATTTTTTTTGAAGATTCATCACCAACTATCTTAAAGTGGACTTTGACGAGTTCATGTGATGGCTTTGAATAAACCCTAACCCTAACCCTAACCCTCCCCTTTTTTTTTCCCCTTCTTTCTCCCTCTACCCTATTCGGCTATACTCCATTGAAATTCACCTCTATTGAAATCTGCAAAAGTTTATTCACCTCCAATCTCCATTGGTAAGTGAAATCCATGAAATTGCATGTAGGGGGTCGTCTTATAGGCTTATCTAGGACCCTCTACTTTGACATAACTAGAAAGAGTGCCCTTACAAGTGTATTATGGCTAACTTTATTTTCGTGTTTTATGGTTATAGCTCTTAGTCATGTTAAATGAATTTACTAACCAACTCCATTATCTTCAACCCAACCAAAAATCCACCACCATCACTACACCCGTTACCTCCACCACCATTGCCTTCTTAGCAATTCTACCGTCAGCCCTAGGGGTACGTTGTCCGTTTGGTTTTTCGGTTTAGATTTAGGTTGCATCCGATCCAAAATATATTTTGATTTTCAATTTTTCAATCTGATTCGAATTTCTCTCCCAATCTAATCTAATCAAATCAGAATTAAAATTCGGTAATTTGATTCCAATCTGAAAAATCCGAATTAAAATACGTTAATGTTTACCGCCTATTATGATTATAAAAATAAAAATACAATTATAAAAATGAGACTTGTCCAAGCTTTAATATTAATAAAAGTCTTCAAAATTAATTTGACTTTTGGTACAACCAAAAGATCTTACTTTGATTTTTGGTACCTATCTAAAATATATTTTTATTTTACTAATTATGTAGTTCTAAAAGCATAGCTTTTGGTACCACTTATCGCATTCCGTTATTAGAGTTTCTTTAATAGTCAGTTAATTGATTTTTTTTTCCTCGTTTTGAGTGTCAAAAATGTTCTTTTAAGGTTTTGGGGATATTTTAGCTCTTAAGGGTCTAAATTGAGCTAGGAATTGGCAAAAAAAAAAACATAAGTACCTTGTCTTGCCTGTCATAAAATGTATTGTGTTTCATTACTTATATGCAGCGAAAATTATCCAGGCTAAGTTTAAATTAAGAGGTCGGTTTAGCCCTTTAGTGTCCCAATTTAGCTCAAAATTCAACATAGAAATAACGTAAGTGCCTTATTTTACGTATCAAAGTCGACATAATTAGACTTGCAAAACCAGTCATATTATCAAGAACGCACGATAGAAGTCAATGTCAAACCTTTTTAAAGTCAAACAAAACCATAAGGTATTCTAAGTTAAACCAAAAGTTAAATAAAATACAACTTGGAATCCCATAAGGCCTAAACCAAAACCAAATCATTTCAAACCAAAATGTTAGTCCACACTGCACACCAAGCAATTTGAAAAAACCAATAGTTCAAATACAGTGAGAATGCAATGAACATAAAAATTTCGGATATCCCGATACTCATAAATATCAAATACTTCTATTTCAAATAGGACCTTTGATTCGAAAATGATTCTGGTTAAATTGGATATCCAAGTATCCAACCCACCATGCTCAACCTAATTAACACACAACCTTACCTTAAGTCATACGGAGTACAGTAATAACCAATTACCTTCATCTACATACTCTTACTATGCAATCTCTTCTGAAGACACTCCTATTTCATTACACTTTCTCTCTATCTTTCAATTAAACGACACCGTTCTTAGAACCTCTATAACTCACTCTTCACCCCACTTCACAATTTTCTGTTAGACACTACAGTAATATATTTGATAGAGTATAAAACATAATCCTCGACCTTAACCATCAACTTAAGATTTTAGTTGAGTTAATCGAGATAAAACGGAGCAAGTAATATTTGAGCAAGTTATGAAAGGTGATCTTGATTTTATTTCTGAGCCATGGCCTAGTATCTCCGACAGCGCTAAGGACCTGATGAAAAAATGCTTGTAAGGGACCCCAAGAAGCAGTCGACAGTTCATCAAGTTATTTGCCATCCTTGGGTTCAAGTTAATGGTTGAGACCGAGGATTATGTTTTATACTCTATCAATATTCAACCTACTAATTATGTTGAAAATAAAACTAGAATAACTGTTCATGCCCTACTAAAGATGACATCAATGGATGCACAACTCGTAGTTCACCATAGCTGTCCTTTACAGATAACACTTGTATATACTATAACTCGTATATTTCCCACTAGTAGCCACTAACCTTCGGGTTGATAATATAAACAAGATTCGATTCCAAGTCTTCTCTACTATCATCAAGATTATAACAGACTAAACTACTGTTTTTCGTTATACTATCTGTAGCATGCACAATTGCACAAATAGTATGTACTATGTAGCTCATCATAGCTGTCAAAATATAGCTGAAGACAGTAGCATCAGATAAACTCCAACTCATAGAATGGTATTCCTAAATAAAACTACATTAAAAAATCATACGTACCCAAATAAAAGTAGCTTGATTCCAAACAATGATGAGAATAAATGTTACTGCAGCAGATAGTTGTTCTGAAATTTGAGCACACTAATTTCTTACAAGCCCATCACTCTGGATCATGAGCTACCCAGTGCAGACATGAACTCATGGTATAACTGATTTAAAACATTAGTTTATGCACACATCCTTTAATTTATACCGCCTCGCTCCACTTTTTAAAATCGGTTGTTTTTAATTTTAATTAAACGTCTTCTTTACCTTTTAGGACGTGCTCTCTTTGTTTGTTTTATTATTATTTTTTTTTCTTTTGGTGTTTAGACTCTAGAGAGTCACAAGGGTAGGTGATGAGAATTAAACTTAAAATCTGTTGATCACTTGAGTTATCTCTCACTCTCTTATTTTATTATTATTATATTTCTTAGTTCACATGATTCTCAATTCTAGTTTATAAACTTTTTTATTATTATAATAAACTCCCTCTTTTATAAACTATTGACAACCATTTTTAAATGTATTTTTTTCATTTCTTTAACAAACAAAACCTCAAATTAAATTTTACTTTGTTTCAAAAAAAAAAAAAAAAAAAAAATTACTTCATCTTTGTTGAAAAAAAAAATCATCTAACTAACTAACTTATCACTAATTAACCTAAAACTTGGTGTACAGTGTAACATTTATTAAAATGAGTAACTATGCCACATTTATTTGAGTAAAAAATATTTTAGGATATGAGATTAGATTTTCTATGGCCCACAACTTTTAATTTTACGTAAACTTCTAAGCACACCAAATTTCCACTTGACTCCCCTTATGGTAGCAAGTTTGCAGGCTAACCACCATCATATTATTTTCCAAGTTCAATTTATCAAAAAATTAATATTCCACCTCTATTATATATTCTAGCAAGATAAGATAAAATCTTTAATTTAATTATTTAATATAAAAAAACAAACAAATTAATTCCACACTCAACAACTTTGTGATAATGTAAAAGTGAATGCTTTTTTCTGAGGGAGCATTTAATTAAAAATAATTCAATTATTTTCAAGATATATTAAAATATTATTTTTTAAAACAAGAGATATTATAAAATATTTACAACTTGTAACATTTTAATTTATAATGGTTTCTTTATATATATCATTTCCTTATTAAGTGAATACTGTTCTAAAAAATCAGTGTGATATTTTTTTTTTTATATATCACTCTTATCTTCCTTTCTTCACTGAAAATTCTGATACAAACTCTCAGTCTACACTCTTCACTTTGCCTTCCCCATTCCCTGCTTTCGCTTCGGCTTTCGGCTTTCGCCAAGTTAAATTTTACTAGCTCAATTCCCTAGAGAGAGAGAGAGAGCGTACACTTACCCTTTACACTATAAAAGTTATTTTGCGAGCTAATATTATAGAGATGGACATTGACCTATTTAAGTCCACCCCAGATGACCAAATTGAGATGATGCTTATGACGATGCACATGGATAAACCCGGCGCAACATCCGGGAACGAAGGAGGCGGCAGTCTCCCCTACGACGACAACACTCCAATGATGTCGTTTAACGGGGGTGGGAGCTTGCCTCAGCATTTTAACTCACCAGCTTTCGTAACTGATCCACAAACAACTATATCTTTCTCCAACAACAACAACAACAATAATAGTAACAATTCTTTGTTACCGAGTTTGTTCCCTTCTTATAGCAACGACAGCAATGAGAACAACGGAACATCATCGTCTCCATCACAGAAGCAAACATCAATGGCTGCAATGCGAGAGATGATATTCAGGATAGCAGCTATGCAACCGATCTACATCGACCCTGAAGCAGTGAAGCCCCCGAAAAGGCGGAACGTTAGGATATCGAAAGACCCTCAGAGTATAGCTGCTCGGCATAGGAGGGAGAGGATCAGCGAGAGGATAAGGATCCTGCAGAGACTCGTCCCTGGTGGTACAAAAATGGACACTGCTTCGATGTTAGACGAAGCGATTCACTATGTCAAGTTCTTGAAGAGTCAAGTGCAAACCCTCGAACGATCTGCCATCAACAACAACAACCGCCCCGTTCCCCCACCGGTATCCACGGGGATAGGTTACCCCAGTGGATATTCTTTTGCTGGTCATCAGCTCCACCATATGAATGCTGCACCTCATCACAATGTACAACAGTACTCGGATTCGGATGCATAAGATTTAATTGACATAACATTATAGATCGGCGATGATAGCTCGTCGTTGAACGGGCCTTAGCTTTTTTCATTCATTAGTACATGTATCAAGTTCAACATACAATGTCTGTATCTTGGAATAATCTAATTACACTAGATGATGCATTCATTCATAGCAAATGTAACAAGTTTCCCAATAACACAAGTTGTTGTCTACATACAATGGTTATAGAATTAGAGTGTATTCATTTCAAATTATACTCCGTAACATACAATCCATCTCATATATAATTACCAAATCATTCAACCTAATACCAAAGTAATTACGAATAGCAAAAAAAACTCGAACATTCAAAGAACAGTTACAAGTGACAAGAATGAACTGAGCTACGAAAATGAATGGAACAAGTCAGGTGTTTATAACCGGTGATGCATCTAAATTGAAACTTCTTTTTTTGAGTAAATGACCATCTAAAAAAACGGAGGAAGTAATAATTATCGACCATTTTTGATATGTTGGCATACCTAGCTTTTACATAATAGTGCAAACGATTGTTCGTGAGCATACATGTATTTATAATCGGTACAATGTATCTTTGGTGCTAGGCCCAACCTTCAAATCATAGGAAAACAAATTAATATGCACGACCATGTAATATATGGGAATTCCTGGACCAAGGGAATTCTACAACCTTTTTTGGTATGTATATATCAATAATTAATTAGGGAAAAATGACTGGCAATTAGAGGACAGGAAAACAATATAAAAAAATAGTTGAAACTATTTTCACTCTTGAATTGAGTCCACTAATTTACGGCTACTTCTAACATTTATTCTTCACATAATAGAGAGAAGTAGGATTGTAATTTAGAGACGGGGGAGTACTTGTATAATACTGTATATGTTTTGATTTCTCTCGTTTCAATAATTTCACCACGATTACCCGCGTAAAATTTTGTGCACAAGAGATACGAGAAGGTTTTGTTGGAACAGGATCCACCTGGACTATCTTAAGCGGATTTTGGGTGTAGAAACAATTGTTCACTTAGACAACACCACAGAAGTAACTATTAGTCTAATGGTAAGGATTATATCTTACAAACTCGCACATGTCATGGTAGTTGGGGCACTTTAGTAGCGGGGTTACCAAACTCTCAAGTCAAGAGGGCTTCTTCGCTAATTTTGACCAGATTGACCTTCAACAACACTTTCTAGGTATATCCCTAACCTTGAAAATCACATACTCCAAGCTAAAAGAGTACGAGTAACATGCATATAAATATTACACCAAAAAAAACCAAACAAGTATATAACATTAAAACCTGATTATACACAAACGGATACTTGTTTTATCCCAATTACTCCATTTATATGCAGGTTTAATCTTCAAATTAACTCTTAATTTTTCACAAATCAATATCAAAACTACTGAACTGTAAATTTGACCATTACAAAAAGACAAACTCGTTCAATCAATTGCCTTCAAATTAAAAAAAAAAAAAAAAAAAAAAAAACAGGATCATAATACAGTAGAATTGAATGCGGTACTCGATCGATACTTACCGCTTGGAAGAAGAAACATGTGAAAATTGAAGAAAATCCGACTTGTTTTTGGGCAGAAAAAAACATAATTAAGGAAGACGCAGAAAGACGTAATTATAATAGAAAACCCAAGTTATTTGATGACTCATCTTCTTTTTCTCCATGGTGCACAAATGTCAATAATCTCTCACCAGTCATGACTCATCTCTATCAATTGTAGTGTAGTCTATTTATTTTTTAAACACTTTCACTCGAGTTTTATATGATTAAGTTCAATTTGATAAAATAATTTATACATATAGGAGGAGTTTGGTTTGTGTATTTTTAGAATTGGAAACAGATTAGATTAAACCTATATCCTTGCCGTACGTTTGGTTTGAGGTATGATAAAAATTATCATTACATAAGGGTAAATGGGTAATTATTACCTCATATTTGTTACCTCTTAAAAAATTGGGGTAACAAATATCTTTACCTTCCCGTAAACAAATACCCTTTTATGGTTAAACCAAACAAATGAAAAGGTAATAAGTAATTTAGGGCCTGTTTACATTTACTTAATTTCAGTTCAGTTCAGCTCCAATCAGTTCAGTTTAGTTCAGTTCAGCTCTTAATTTCCCTCTCTCATAAAATTTTCATTTCAGCTCAATTCAGTTCAGTTCAGCTCCAATCAATTTAGTTCAGTTCAATTCAGCTCCAATCAGTTCAGTTCAGTTCAGCTCAGTTTAGTAATTGTGAACATACCTTTATTCTTTTCCCCCTTTTTATATGTTTCCTGTCCACTTTGTTTTCATTTTCCGAACCAAACTCCCCAATAGTTTTTACTTATAATTTTTTTTTTGTTTTTTTTGAGATCCATAAAAGGCGAAGGTAAGAATCGATCTCAGAATCTCTTAGAACTGGGATGGAAGTTCTAACATGTAGGACTTTATAAGTACTATACGTGGAAATTCATAAGCACTTAAACCAAGATCGCATGCATAACACACAAGACACATAATCGTACCTTTGAAGCGTGAATTTCATGAAGCTATATATCTATTTGATCAACAAATCAGGGAAAAAATAAAGCCCCAAGTGTTGCTCCTCTACTTAATCCACGGGATTCGAACAAGTCGTCCACCAAAACTGGATTGGTCGAGTGAAGGGGAAACCCACGATCACCACCTTTGCAAACAACCGACCACCACACGAACCACCACCACCACCACGAGCACACCACAGACGCAAAGGGGGGAGGAGAGAGCAGAGAGAGAGAGAGAGAGAGAGAGAGAGAGAGAGAGAGAGAGAGAGAGAGAGAGAGAGAGAGACAAGAGAGGCTTGGTCTCGTGTTTGCTAATTTGGGTTTCAACTTCACAGTAAAATTGTTCGGTAGAATTACCTAGGCACCTAGTCTACTTATAATCATATTATAATTAGACTAGGTTAGGAAGCCCAAAACCCTCCAAACTCCTCATCATGGCCGGCAACATAGAGGATGAGGCCCATCATGAGCCTCGTCCTCTAATGCTTGATGTAGGCCCTTTGTGTGAGTTTATAGGATCCGTCCAATTGGATTTTGGCCTATTTTACTAGCCCAAAGATCGTTAGTGTAGACACCCATTTGTGTCTCCCCAAAACCAAACCCAGTGATGAGTACCTTTTGCGTCGAATCATAATCGAATGAAGTGAAAGTGTGGAAAGTATAGTGTTGCGGATAGTTTTAATTTCTTTTCTCTTATCTCTGTTTTTGAAAACTTATTTTAAGAAAACAGCCAATCCAGTTTGGTTGGTCCATGATATGGGTCCAATAGTAGTGTAGTTGGATGGGGCTTGACAAGAGCTTTCCAACGATATATTATAATCCCAATTCCGATAAATATTGAGGAATTTATGGCCAATTTACTAAACTGGGTCTGGTTTGAGCCTTATATGCGGCCCAATGATCTAGGGGAGGGCCTAATATAGATTTATCATTCCTAATGCAATTAGAAATGGTTTTAGTCTTCTAGATTCTTCTAGAAGGTTCTTTTCATTCCTAATTCAATTAACATTGATAAATTGACTTTTGTTGACTTTTTAGAGTTTTAATTAGAATCAAAGAACATATTTTGAGGGAAATACGATTTTATCTTCCTGTACGGCAATTTTTATCTGATTTTAAGAAAACGCGTGATTTTCTGAATCAGCGCCAAACGTCAGCTGTAGCGCCTGGTGCTAGCATTGGCGCCTGACGCTAATGTTGGCGCCTGCGCCAGTAGCCAGCGTTGGCGCTAATTCAATTTTACGTGCGCCAGAACTCTGTTTTGATATTTTATCTTTTTGGCTGATTTTCTTTATAAATAACGTCGTAAAAGCTCCGTTTTCATTCATCTACAATCACCAATTCTCACCAACTCTCATCAAGTTTTTCTTGATTACTCTCTCTCTCTTTTCTAAACTAGCTTCTCTCAAATATAAAAATTCCGCATTCATTAGATCTAGATACACCTAGTCATATTTGAAGTTGCCTTCGCCCTAGACGTGAAAGGTTTAATTTATGAGGGTTTGGTCCCAAATCTCTCTTTCCATTATTTAATTTAATTGTTTTGATTATTATTTTCCTTGAAGTTACTAACGTGTGTATTTTGTTATTAGAAAGAGGTACGAGGCATCAAAGTAAGTACTTTAATGATTTTTTATTGATGTTATGATATAGAGTTCATGCTTAGGTTGTTATTATGATTCCTAGTATCATGTCTAGGGTAACTTTAATATCAAGTATGATTAAAAGTATGATGCTTCCTATGTTCTTCCTAATATTTATGATTGTTAGTATCATGTTAGGGTTAAATATTTGATTTTTATTGCTTAGTGACATGCTAGGATTTGTTATTAATCTTGTTAGTATCATGCCTAGGATCTTGCTATTATTATGCTTTAACATGACTATTATGATTATGATTATTATAATTGTTATTATGATGATTATTGTTTTGATTATTATTATGATTATTTTATTATTATTATGATGATTGTTATTATGTTGCTTGATATATATTTATTGTTATGGCTTGATCACCTTTTATGCATGTTTAAAGGGAATTTGTACTTGTAATCATGCTTAATAAGATAATTAATAATCTTGTTTAGGGTTAATATGATTATAATTCAAGTGATCGCCAATAATAGATTTATTTGTGCATTAAATTCAACCAACATAGATAAACAGGTTTAGGGTTAAACCTATTGCTTGTATGTTAATCAGAAAGCGCACATGAATACGATCAGAATAAAGTAGAGACCTATTATTAGGGCAGGTTCAATCTCTTTTAGGTTGGATTTGTACCTTCATCCCCGAACCCTATTTGGTTCAAGACCTTATGGAGTTGACGATCTCTTGAATCGTTAAGGGGTGTAACCTTCACCTGTGAACGGTTTACAAGTTCCTAAAACTTGTTGGCGACTCTTTTGCTCTATCTTCTTCCCTTTTGGACGCCACCGTACTTTAGTGTATGATCACAGTGGGGTTCCAGTTAGGGGATTAACGCTTGAAATATTCCCTACAGTTAGTATTTTTAGCTATGATATAACGATGACCCTAAAGTACGAACTTAATTATCTTCAAAATTTGATCCATTTATATATCTAGTAATTGCACTTGACGAAGACATAAATCCTTCACTGATCACTTGAGCTATCCGATCCCTCACTCTCTCTATATAGTATGTGGTATAGGTGTACAAGAGGAAATCAGTCCGGGATTGAAATGGGAAAAGGCAAAAAAAAAAAAAAATCATTTTGTTTAATCAGGTCAAGCTAAGGTTCGAGCCAAAGATAATTAAGGAAGCCCCAGTTTATATGTTTGATAAACGTATTATATGTACTACCTCCGTTAAATATTATGTGCAACTTTGGGTATTATTTATGAGATATAAAATATTCCAAAGTTGCACATAACATTTAACGGATGTAGTATATCAAATGGTAGAATTAATTGTAAATAAATATCCTTGAATTGTGTGCAAATTGATTTTAAAAATGTTAATAATCATTGTTTGGCCATGTATGATGGAATACACCGGAGTTAACATCGTTAACACTTCCTTCCACCTTCAATTCTTCCTCCCATTTTCTTCTTCCTCTTACTGCCTTCATGAGAGAATATGTGAATATTTGTCGTAGGCTTCTCATTCATCAAAGATTAGTATATATACAAGATTAGGCTTGCAGGTTAAGTTAAGCTAAACTAGGAAAGATATACACTAAATATATGCAAGATAATTACAAAAGATTATTTCCATAATCTATCACACCCCCGCAGTCGAAACGGTAGGACTACGAATGTTGAGACTGTCCCGAAAATCATCAAATAAAACCTTAGGCAGACCTTTTGTAAAAATGTCTGCAATCCGGTATCGGGATGGAACATGTAGGACACGAACTTCGCCGTGTTGAACCTTCTCACGAACAAAGTGTATGTCCATCTCAATGTGTTTAGTGCGTGTAGGGAATAGTTTCAAGCCTTTAAAATCCCACTAGCTTGAACCCCACTGTGATCATACACTAAAGTACGGTGGCGTCCAAAAGGGAAGAAGATAGAGCAAAAGAGTCGCCAACAAGTTTTTAAGGAACTTGTAAACCGTTCACGAGGTGAAGGTTACACCCCTTAACGATCCAAGAGATCGTCAACTCCATAAGGTCATGAACCAAATAAGGGTTCGGGGATGATGGTACAAATCCAGCCTAAAAGAGATTGAACCTGCCCTAATAATAGGCCTCTACTTTATTCTGCTCATATTCATGCGCGCTTTCTGATTAACATGCAATCAATAGATTTAACCCTAAACCTGTTTAATCTATGTTGGTTGAATATTAATGCACAAATAAACTATTATTGGTGATCACTTGAATTATAATCACATTAACCTAACAAGATTATTAATTATCTTATTAAGCGTGATTACAAATACAAATTCCCTTTAACATGCATAAAAGGTGATCAAGCAATAAAGAATAACTATCAAGCAACATAATAAATAATCAACATCATTAATAATAATCAATCATGATCATGTTAAAGCATAGCAAGATCCTAGGCATGATACTAACAAGATTAATAACAAACCCTAGTGATTAGGGGATTTTGCTCCCACCAATCACCATCTGACAAGTGGACCAATCAGGTTCCGTCATGTGTCCGTCACATGGGCCAATAGGAGCCTGCCACGTGTCAAACA